AAGGCTGCTCTGTGTTGTATTTCTGTTAGGAAAATAATCTAGGGATAGATTAATTTTAGGAAGACATAATGTCTGATTACAGGAGCACTTGAATGTATTATTTTCATGTCTGTAAATGAATGGATGGATTTTAAGTTTATAATACAATTGAGTGAAAATACTGTATTGAATATTGTAAATCTGTGTGTATGAGAGATGTACTTTTTGTTTTGCATTTTACAATGTCTGTAAATAAATGAACTTTGAGGTACCAATTTCTGTCCCTGTTGCTAAGAAAGATCAGAGAACCAATTGAACACAAGAGCTATGCTGCATCAGACCAAGCGGTCCATCAGGTCAGCTTTCTCTTCACACCATGGTGCGCCAAATGAGTCTAGGTGCCCACAAGCTGGATGTGTCTGCAATAGCACCTCCCAGTCATGGTCCCCAGCAACTGGTGTTATTTGTATTCTCTCTCCCCCTCCCTTCCTCCCGTACACAACACCCATTAGCGAAGATGGATCTCTGGGCAATTTACAAAGTTACCTTGTAACTTTATTACTAATCATTATTTAAAATATTTTGTGTTTAACTTTGAAGGCAGAAACCTTCCCAAGGTGGCAAGTAACAATAATACTTGCTGAATAAATCTGATACAGTAATGACAGCTTAGAACAAAATAGCCCCCTCATTTTTTAAAACATAAAATAGCAAAACAACCACAGCAGCAAAATATGAAAAAATGACAAGCAGAAAAAATAACACCTGCCACATGTAACTACAGCTACAAACCAGTTTAACAAAAATTAGGAAGGTCTAGTAGACCTCTGGTGATAACTTATTCCAGAGGTTGGGCCGCTGCAGAATAGGCCCTTGTGTGAAGTCACCCACATAGCTTTCTCTGGTAGGCAAATGAGAAGAGCCTCATGAAGAGCAGGCTCATGTGGGTGAAGTAGGTCTTTCAAGAAATTTTGGTCCCAACCCGTTCAAGCTTTCAAAAATAAGACACTTCACATTTGCAACATTCAGCATGGCCAATGATCAGGGATGACGAGTCTTAGTCCAAGACCTTTGGAGAGCACCATGTTGTGAACGTTTTCAAAAGTTCAGACGAGTCACAGCTAATGAGTTGTGGCTTGTGATGTCATCACCTGGTGCCACTACTCCTTTCCGAGCATGCGCATGGTCCCTATGTGCGCTGTTCTCCTATGCTCGGCTGCTGGGGTGACTTGGCTCACGTGCCGACAGAGAGGGCTCTGCGTGCCCACTGTGGCACGCGTGCCATAGGTTCACCACCACTGCAATACTTTCAGCAACATGTACCTCATGAATCCAAGTTTTAAAGTATGTGTTTATTCTCTTTAGGAAACATTTCATTTCTACAAAATTCAATTCATTCTGCAATTAAATCATTTGCAACCTTCCTATTAATGTTGATGGATCTAGAGTGGAGCTTAGACTGGGCAGAAGAAGCTACTATCTTGTGTTGGTTTCAGTCATCAGTGAAAAAAGTACAGAGATACTGCATGATTCACAGCGAACAGTACTTGCAACTGAAAAATGTGTATTTAAGATAGTCAAGGAAATACAAAAGCTTTTGGTATTTGATCAGAAAATGTTCACCCAAAGATCCAAATCATTGCTAATTCTGTGTAATCATCAGGAATTTGCCCTGAGTCTTGGCACTTTCCTCATGGCCTAACAGATGGTTGGCACTGCCTCTCTGAAAAAGAGGGGAGCACATACTGCAGCCAAATCTCAGATACAGGGGTTGTTCTATATTTACATGTGAGCACAGCAATGCAAATTCAAGTTTAGTTGTAGGACATAAGCTAGAGGAATCCAGTTGACAGTTCCTCTTTCTGCTCATGAGGCTTCTATGGATCTGGGTCAAAACAGTGTTGTGAGTTTAATTCCTAATAATGAAAATCCATTTTATTATTCCTAAATCTTTTTATTAATAAATTTATTCTATTTCTGTAAACGATAAAGAGCTTAATTATGAAGGAAATAATTTATTCATCTATTTCAAGTCCAAGCAATTACATTTGTATATAAGTGGTTCATTCTGACAGACAATACAGGATCTCTCATTCCCAGATTAAAGTTCTGAGAGAGGAGATATTCACTTTACTGATAAATCTCTGTTCATATGCCCCAATTTATGACAATACGTGTTAGAATCATGCAAGTATTTATACAAATTGTGGTCATTTTATAATAGAATTATAACTGCTAAAAAGCCTTTCAAACTGAGTATTACTTTACATAAAGAGCCAATGTGAAATGCTCATTGAGATAAATTATTCACCCTAAAGTTGCTATTGATAAATTTCCAGTTCAGCTGATTAATTTCATACAGGATTCACATAGCAGAGTAGCATTTAAAACAAAATTTTAAAAGCTGCAATTCTATGCAAACTTACCTAGAATTCATCTTACTGTAGAATGTGGGTCTTACTTATGAGGAAATATGTATAGGATTGAATTGCATACTTCTTATTTATAAAATAAAACAGATTTCATAATCAGAAGTTTAGCTAAATGGAAATCTCTTGTAAAAACAGCTGGAAAGGCACCAGTGTGCTACACAGACTGACTCCATACCGATTACAGAAAGCAGTTACAGCTGTGTTGCCACAAGCCACTTTTTGTGCATGCTTCCAGTGGCTCATCTGTCAGACCAAAACGTGCCACACCCAGTTCCTGCTCTGTATAGTGGTACATTTCCAAATTTGGAGCCAGTAGCATGATTATCCAAGTATTTTGAAGCCTGAATTGAACTGACAAAATTATTGGGGAAGTCTATGTTCCTGGGAAGTCATTTGAAATAATGCCTGGAAAAGCATTCCTACAACCAGCTTCCAACATCAGCATCTTTTGAGCCATCTGAATCTGTTGTGCTGGAACTTTCTTTCAAGTATAAGATTAAAGTTGATACAGTTGAATGAGGATCAAGCAGTTTCCCAAGGGGTATTTCCACTCTCCTTTCCATAAAGATACGGTTCTGTAAAGTAGAGGCTAATGCAGAATCTATGCCCAATGATGAAAGTGGTGTATGCAATGAAAGATCCACAGCGACTGGATCACACAGCCTTTTCAAAAGTGAGATGGTATAATCTACAGGTCCTTCCTGAAAGGGATTCTGGGTCACATCACTGCCAAGATTGCTACACAACTCCTCAGAAACAAAGTTGTTAAAACGATGCTTTAGTGACAAATTTTGAAATAAAACATGATTAGCTAAAGTTTGAAAATTCAGTTTTACCACAGCTTGCTGAGGATTGTTCAGAATTAAGCTTCTTTTAAGATACTTGTGGATGTCATTCACTTGTAGAGCCTCCAACCCTTGAATTTGTAACATATTATTTTGATTAGTGCCAAGGTTTAAGGCACCCCAGTTAATGGACTGCCCTGCAAGTCCACTGTTTCTTCTATAATGGCAAAAAAGTTCCAGGAAGGAATTAGCAGCTGCATAGTTTGACTGTGTTGCATTTCCAAGAAATGATGAAAAAGATGTATAACATACAAAATGGTCAAGCTCCCGTCCTTGCATGGCACAATGAAGATTAATTGCCCCAGCCACCTTTGGGTTTAAAACTTTCTCAAAGTGAGACATAGTGAGTGTTTCAAGATGTCCATCATGTAAAACCACTGCACTGTGGAACACACCTTTGATTGGGCAGTTAGGAAATATTTTACTGATAGACTTGACAGCCTTCTCAACTTCAGAACTAAAAATAACATTGCATTGCAAGCTGACTATTCTGCTCCATTCACACTGATCCTGGATATCATTTATTTCATTTTGAATCTCAGGGCTCGGATTTCTCCGTGAAAGTATTACAATTCGACCTCCTCCATTCTGCGCTATGAATTTTACAGTTTGTAAGCCAAGCCCAGACAGTCCCCCTGTGACTATGTAAGCAGCATTCTGCTTAAAGAGTCTTCTCTCTGTTTCTACCACTGGAATATCTGAGATTTTACTGTCGTCTTCACTTGTTAGGACTACAACTGGAACACTTTTGCAGTTGAAATAGGATACAGCAGTATCTGACTTCTCAGACATTCCTGGTTGCTGAAAAGAGGAATGTGGGAGATGTTTTAATTGCTTCATATTCATTGATTTAAGCCAGCAGTAGATTTCCTTCTGGGATCGGATCAGAGATGCTTTCTGAAAAGTATGGATAAGATTGACAATATGGATGCAGATACTTTCTTGATCACTTCCAATCAGGTATCGCAAGCATTCAGGCTGTTCATTACCATAAACCAGCACAACATCTCTAAGATGGAAAAGGCAGGTTAGGGCCTCTTTAAATATTCTATTCAGTGGTGGTAAGAATATCAGAGCATTACACTGATTAACACGTTGCCATAGCCCAGTTGCATCGTTTGTACTTATTGTTTTCCATCCTAATTCCTGAGCTGAGAAAATGAGCACTTGGCACAAAACTGAGTCAGGCTCAGTGGAAATAATACCTAACATTTCACTATATTTTGGCACTGGCAGTATTTTACACAAAACCTCCCATGCTAGGTAGAAGAATGACATGCACGGTATGTTTCTAAAGAATGGAAATTTTTGAGTATTGAAGCAAACTGTTCCTGGAATATTAATTCTTGAAGCTGATGGAACTGGATAACATGAAACAATATGGTCTCCCACTTTTAGCTTTCTCACTTCAATACCTGCTGCGGTTACAGTGCCAGTAAAATCTAGGGCTAAAAGTTGATGCTTATCTACTGTATGTGAATTCCAGTACAACATTTCTCCAAACTTACAGCTGGACACACTAATAGGAAAATAGTCCTCTGAGTGGAGGCTTACTTTTTCAATTTGAACCTCAATGCTGTGGTTTCCAAGTTGACTACATGAGTTGGTGACTTGCGCTGTGAGATCATTTATATTATATGGATCTGCTGTGTACAAAATGCACAATTCTGAGCTCTGAAGAGGGTGGGAAGGTGTATTGAAGGCTGTGGTTTCAATCTGAGTGCGCCTAATTTCAGAAGCATAAATTCTTCCTTCATCAATCCAGACCTCTGGATATTCCTGGGCTTTATATTTTACTAACACATCTGCTAAAGCTGAGATATCTATTGGGCTTGTAGAGCTGATATCAATAATCTGAAATGTGATATCAGGGGCTTCAGCCATACACGTTCGAGTCATACCATACAAAACAAAGCCAGTATTGATGTGGTCTACTTTCCCTTCTGATGTCCTGTAAGTGATTATAGTAATGGAACACTGGGACTTCTTCTTCCTTAATGCAATTACAACTTGGCGAAATGCCTCACAGCACCTTACAGAATATTTCACCACTTTCTCTGGTACAGATTCATTTAGTTTCTTCATACCCCACATAAAAACAACATCTTGATATCCCTGCAGTTCCAGGTTAATTTGTGCATTAGTGTTTGCTTTCTTGGGTACCAACATTCTGTCCCATTCCTGATATGCAACAAACCTTGACTCACTGTGTAAGTAATTCTTGAGCTGCTGGGCAATTCCAGATTTATCAGCAAACACCACAACTCTAGGTGCTTTTGGTAGATTTTGCATGGGTTGATCAGAAGTTATTTCTGTCCAATTATTTTCAAACAACAAAACATTTTCTGTCTTGGGAATTTCCTTTACAAAAGTGATCTGGACACATTTCAGTTCTGCCAAAACAGACCCATGTTTATCTGTGAAGCAGCCACAAAACTGTAAGTAATCGTCAGTGGACTTGGTTGTCTTTAAATATATCATCATTTCCTCTTCCAAAGATTTAGCTATTGTGAGACTGCATATGCAAGAAGGAAAGACAACCTTCTTCTTGGAATTAATTATAGCCAGAATTCCTGCCATTTGTAGAAAAGCATCCAATAGTACTGGATGAATGTAATATTCATGCATTTCTTCCACAGTTTTCCCTTTCACTTTAATAGTTGTTATAGCTTCTTTCAAGTCTTCACAATAAAATATATCATTTAGCTGCCTAAAAGTGGAACCGCAGTGGAACTGAGACTGTGCCAGGGATTCATAAACATTGTCTTTGCTAACAAGAGATATACACCTCTGCAAAATGCTTTTTAAGGATATGTTCTTTTCTTCAATTGATGTTTCAGGACACTTTGTGACTTGTCCTGACACACAAAGTGTATCAGCTGATCCAGATAATATCCTGAACTCTGACATTCTTTGTTGTGATTCCACCTTTATTTTCAAAACTTGGGAAATTCCAGTTAAAGTGCATGGTTCAATAAAAGTTATACTCAACTGACAAAAACTTAAAGGTACTTTTGGTCTTGCAGTAGTCAACACAGCTGCCAAGCCAAGTTCCACAAAAAAGGCACTTGGAATTAAAGCAACACTGTGGTTCTTATGCTCGTATAAATAGGGTGTCAGGGTATCAGAGATGCAGCAAATTAATTCTGAGTTCTCCTCATTTGCACTATAAATTAAAGGATGACTTGAGCTCACAGCTCTATTGCTTACTTGTTGGTTCATGTTCCAATATGACATGAACTTTTGATGATCAAACTGATACCTGGGATAAACTGATGGTACACTTTGATAACTGTCATAAAAATTATGCCAATCTATATTTAATCCTAGTTCAAAAAAATCTTTTATAAGATTAAGAAGGACCACATATTGTCTATCAATTTGCATGGAATGAAAAACTCTAGTCTGTGCTCCTAATGCTTCTGTTATGTACCTCTCGAATGCTCTTTGAGGCCCTATTACTACAAATGCAATATTGCCCTTGTCTTTTGCTGAAGTCATTATGGCTTCTGCAAAAGAAACAGGATCTTGAGCCTGTTTTGCCCAGTAGAAGCCTGTGACAAAATCATCACCTAAAGCAGCCTTCCCTGTTGCTGTAGAAATGAGGTCCATTATTAGCTTTCCTTTCTTCAGTACTGATATACTTTCTGCCATCTCTGTTAGTATGGGATCCATCATGTGGCTGTGATATGCAACTGGCACATTTAAAAGATGAAGAAAGATATTTCTTTTCTTAAAGTTTTCTGCTAGATGCTTCTGAGCAGCACTGATAGACTCTTCATCCCCTGACAGTGTGCAAGACTGAGGACTGTTGAATGCCGCCACACAGACTTTTCCTGAATATGCACTCAGGGCCGCGGACACTTCTTCAACAGGGATGTTCCCAACCACCAGCATTTTGCCTCCAGAGACCTTAGCCTGAAGCCGGCTCCTGTGATGGACGACTTTGACAGCATCTTCCAGGGAAAGCAGGCCAGCGCAATGGGCAGCCGCCGCCTCACCAACCGAATGGCCAACCGCTGCAATCGGCTTTATCCCCCAGTACTGCAGAAGAGTAACCAAGGCCACCTGTACTGTGAAGAGCAGGGGCTGGGCTATCTCAGGATTTGACAGATCCACATGTTCTTTTTCAGTTAATTCCCAAATTCCACTAGGTGAAATCTGTTGAAATAGTTGTTTGATTTCATTACATTTGTTTCTAAAAACTGGCTCAGATCTCAGCAGGTTTTTACATATCCCTTTAAAATCTGACTCATTACTGGAGAACACAAAAATGAATTGTGGAGGTTTCTTTAATGGAACTGTTTCCGTTTCAGCTGCAGAAAGAAGTTGCTGTTCTAAGTGTGGCAGAGAGGATGTCACAAATGCTTTCCTGTATTCGTGGTTCCTGTGGCTTCTTCTACATGCAGATGTGTAGGCTAGATTTGGAAGCAATGCTGAATTTCTTGTGTCAATGTGTCTAGCTGTGTCTTCCATTGCCAATTTCAAAGAATTACTTGAAGCAGCAGAAATGACAAATAATTCAGCAGGCCTTTTATTTGGAGGGTTAACATGAGTTTGCTTAACCTGTCTAACAACAATGTGAGCATTGTTCCCCTCAGATGCAAAACAGTTGATCCCAGCTACTCTGCCAAATTCATGGGACTCATCCCACTTTTCCACTGTTGTTGGGATGGAGAGGTTTAGGTCTTCTGTATTTATGCTGCTAGTGCTTTCTGAATAGTGCAAGGACGGCACAAACTTTCCATGGTGCATCATGAGAAGAACTTTGATTATTCCTGCTGCCCCAGCGGCTGACCCTGTATGTCCAATGTTCCCTTTGACTGAGCCAATCTTGAGAGGAGGCAGATTCGGAGACCTCTTTTTGCCGATGACATTGCCTATGCTCTCTGTCTCTATAAGGTCTCCTGCAGGGGTACTTGTGCCATGTACTTCAATATACTGCACAGTGGATGGGTCAACACGAAGTGGATAAATGCTAAGCAGCAACTTTTCCTGCCCTTGCTGAGATGGTCTAATGTCTGTAGTGCCAGATCTTCCATTTTGATTGACTGCACTGCTGGTGATAACACCCCATATTTTGTTGAATTCTTCCTGTGCCTGTTTTGGGGAGTAATGACTAGAATGCTTAATGTCATACATGATTTTTAATGCATCAATTTCTTTTAACAAATACTTATTTAAGAGCAAACTCTGGTCCTTTCCCTGTCAATGAAACTTAAGTACATTGATTTCACAGGGTCTGCTTAAACATGACTACTCGTAACTCCAAATCCAACCTATTCTTAGTTTGGTGACATATCTACCAAATTCCATGTAGCCAGACTGCCTAATGCAAGGCAAAAGAACATCTCAGCCTAACAAGATTTCTATTATGCCCTGTTTTTCTGCATCAGGGTATTAATAAGCATTTTATTAAATTCAAAAGAAATAATTTATTCAGACTCTTTCTCTTAATACATATCAAAAGAGCTAGTTTTTGTCTATGCATTATGGAGTTGTGACTGCTAAATATCCCTTTGTTGAAACAGGTGCTAGTAGTTTAGGATGTTTTATCAATTTGAGATAGAGTGTGGTGTACTGCAAAGGCTCAAATGTGTCTAAATTCCCTCTTGGCCATGAAGCTCACCAGATGAATTCTGGTGTTTCGGGCTAACCACTGTTTCTCCATCTAATCAGGTAATGTACTGAAGTAAAAGGAACTCGATGAGAAACAACTCTGCATAGCACCTGGATATCTTTGCAGCAAAGTTAGGATATAAATGCAATCAAAAGTAAAAGAAAATTATTAGAACACAGCCTCCTGAGAGCTTCAGGAAATGAAACCTTTCCACTGAGGGGAGGAAACAAAAAATATTAGAAAAACAGTAGCGGGTAGCATGAAGGCACAGTAGCATGCCAGTCCTAGTGAGAGTGCAATGCATGGTAAATTTTTATTTCACTTTTATGTGTTGCATATTTTTCTTATCCTTCCTCCAAAGAGCCCCCCAGCTCCATTTACTCTTCACAGAATGCTGTGATGGAGATTGCACTGAAAGAGGGTTCACATGACACAATAAGCCATGTGCAGTGCTGCTAGGCATGTCAGGTGTAGCAGGCCCCCAACCCCTGCTTCAGGTATCCCGGGGACCCAGTGGCAGTGGGACGCAGAGGAGCAAGGGAGAGCAGAGTTTGCTGACGGCCTACAGAACTGGGTAAGGGCTACCAGTACTACCCCTTCCTGCTGCTTCCATATGTAAAACAACAGCAAGGACATCCCCCACTCAGCTCATAAGGAGCCCTCACGAACTGTCCACCACTCTCTGTCCTCTCTCCATGCTGCCACCATTCAAAAGGGCAGCAGAAGCAGCCGTAGGGGCAATGGCATGGGAGCACTGAGCAACCTCAACGGGCAATTGCAACTCCCCCAAATTACAGCCCCAAGCAAGGACACAGCAGGAACGCTTCTGTCAGCAGCCTCCATGTGGTGCTTGAATATTTTGGGAACGGCAGTCAGTAGCGTTTGCCCAGCAACTGCTTAGCAAAAGCAGAAGGGATTTCCAGCCATTCTTACCAAGTGGCTCTGCGGTTGTTCGGCTTAGCCCATGCGGTTGTTGTATTGTCTAGCTTTGGGTGCCACTCCATTCCCTGGGGTAGCTAGCAAAGAGTACAATAATCTGTGACCTGGCAGGGTGGCTTATAAGCAAGAAGCTGGTCTTATAAACTACTGCAAATAATCCATGCTGGGTTTGCACAAAACAACCTCCATGGCTTATAAACCAAGGAGACACCAAGTAAGCATCAGGGCTGAATGGGAATTTTTGTCTCCTGAGGCCTAGTCCAACCATCTAACCATTACAACATGCTGGAGTTGGCTGGAGATGGAAAACCTTGGGATACAGAAATTATCTCTAGGAGTCTGAGGTGGGCTTACAGATATACCCCTTTGAAGTAGTGCCTCTTTGCCCTTATAAGTTCTGCTTATACATGTTTAAATAAAGGAAATGTTTTAAAGGCTTTAAAGTTGAAGTTAAATCCATAGAAATATTCCCAAACTTCTCACTGTGAGAGAAATAGGAAACCCTGTAATAATACCTACCTTTATCAGTGGCTTTAACAAAAGAACACCACAACCTTCTCCTCTTCCACAGTCATCAGCCTTTCCAGAGGAAGGTTCACTGATTTTTTCAGGAGAGAGTGACTTTTCTGTACAGAGAGACACCAGCTTCCAAGGTTCCATGATGCAATTTGCAGCTCCACAAACAGCAGCTTCACAGTCACCTGTATCAAAAGCAACAGAGCCTGAAGTCAAGCACAGTGAAAGAATAATATCCCACTCACATGGACTAATGATGTGCCACTCTGGAAAAATCCATTCTGTTTGAGTGTGGAGGACTTTCACTACCATTCTGACCAAGTGATTGGAAGTTGATCAAGTCAGGGTTTAGGAGTTTGGCGGTGAGAGGGATGGTTTTTTGTTTTTGTTTGACTTCTGGGAATGTGCTTGAAATAATTGTACACATTGGGAGCTGAAAACTCTTTTGAGCTTGCAAGGGCTTTCTAATGCGATATTAATGAGTCTGCTGTACTTCAGCTCTTAATGTCAAGCTAATTCATCTTATCAAGCTGGGGGAGATCTGGATTTCCACCAACACACCAAATGGCATCCTCACTCCTCATGCTATTTATTTATTATAATTTATTATTAGATTTTTAGACTACCCCACCAGCTGCATGGCTCCCCAAATGGGTTGCAGACAAACACATACAATCAATAAAATCATGTAAAGGACCATATAAGACATTAAAAGCAATATTAAACCCTTAATCATAAAACAATAAAAGCCCACCCATGATACTTCTTAACAGAACCTACGTTTACATAAAAGGCATAACCACACTCTATATTAAATATTACCACCATTAAAACTAATCTAACAATCAAAATACCGGCAAAATAAAAAGGTCTTTGCCTGGCACTGAAAAGAATACAGAGAGGGCACCAGGCAAACCACTCTGGGTAGCTCATTCTGAGGTCGGGGTGCCACTCCCAAGAAGGTCCTTCTTTTTGTAGCCACCCTCCTTATTTCTTGAGGAAGAGGCTCCTTCAGAAGGGCCTCAGATTATGACCTAAGGTGCCAGGGAAGTTCATATGAGAAGAGGCACTCCTTTAAATACCCTGGCCCCAAGCCGTTCAGGGCTTTAAATGCCAATGTAACACCTTGAATTGGGCCCAGACCTCAACTGGCAACCAGTGGAGGTGGCAAAGGACTGGCTTTACTTCTGCCAGGACATCCTGGATTCCTTCAGACCACTTATGATATTTTTTATGTGCTACATTTTTTCATGGTATATATTTCAGTGTGTGTTGGCAGGTTAAGATGACACTTTTAAAGCCTTGGAAATTTTAACCACACACTGTGAATCTGTTCTGTCTAAATCTAGGCCCAGTCCTATGTAGTTTCACACACAGTTAACATGTTTAGTTTTTTAATGTATTTGTGAATCAGCTCTCAGCTAGGTGCAAACTAGATGTTACTTTAATTGCATAGTTTTGAAATATGCTAGAATTGTTGTTTAATTTGCATCAAGAACACAATATGCAGAGTAGGTAGGTTTAACCCTTCTCTCCCCACCAAAGATCAGCTCCGTGCTACAAATATTACTAGGGGACAAACACTCCCATAGGTGCCAAGGACAGCTTTTTTTTAATGGCTAACTGTTGGAGGAGGGTCAGTCTTTGCTGGGATCACAGCTGGGAAGGGCGGGCCTACACTTCCCTACCTGATGCTCAGACCAATGCAAATATCCACTCCTATGGATGTAATTAGCTTGATTCCAAGATAATCCAAATGGTGTAGCAAGAAAAGCTAAATTTTACATCTTTAAAATTATTACATCCTTTAAAATTATTATGTCCCTTTTAAAAATGGAAAATGTATTTGTTTACAAGTGGGACCCACAATAATATGTTGGCACTATTGTTGGTGTCCCAGCTAGCCAGGTGACTTACAGCCAGCTAAAGCAAGTGCCAATAAGGTTCAGACAGGTGGAGATTCCTTCAGTTTCTTTATTCAGCTGAGCAAAGCCACCAGGTGACCCCTCCTACACACAGGCAGGCAGCAACACACCCACACATTCCTGCTTTTCCTCTATTTTTCCACTTAATCTTGCCCCCATTGTTCCCTCACCCAATCCCCTCTCAGGGTTTGCCTGATCCTTTACCCAATCACCTTGCAGGGTCTGCATGTCCACTGCATGTCTGGCCTCGTGCAGGCCCCTTATCTGTGTCCAGATGGAGCGTGATCACTGCATGCCAGTCCTTGCGTGGGGGTCTTCCTATTCTCACTGCCTCTTTGTCTCACCTTATCAACATTCTTTTGCCTTCCCTTTTCCTCTCCAAAGCAAGCAGTTATACAGAAAGCAAATGGCGTTTGTTAAGCTAAAAGCAAATAACATTAGTTAAACTAATCAGGCTCCTTCACTATAGAGTGCTGATGTCCAGTGTTTTTTGCTAAATATTGGTTGTATTTCAGCAAACTTTATGGCTCCCCTAAACCTGCTGTCACCTCTTCTTATACATGTGTGTTGTTTCAGGTAAATAATGGCACTCACAGCCAGGATGAACTTGGAAGGAGAGGGACAGCTGAATGACCACATGTAAGAGTTGGGAACAGTTATGAAATTGCTCCCTAGAACGGATCCACAGTCACAAGAAACAACCTTAATTCCATAGTCCGCATCAAAGCCACGGTGACTGATTACCAGTCACAGTCTTCCTGCCTTAACTCCAATACCTTGTTTAATGGCCATGCAGCCAAAATGTAAAGCAGAGAGGAAAGAAGAGCAAGCCGTATCAATGGCAAGTGATGGCCCAGTCAAATGAAACGTGTATGAAATCTGGTTGGCTGCTGTCCTCATGGCTGTCCCTGAGCCATTGCTTCCTGCAGCACATGCTCTGGTGGTTGTTGAATCATTGCCTTGATTCATCAGACCTGCAAGTACAGAAGAAAGTCTGTGCCCAGTGGTGTTGCCCCACATTGCCCCAGTAGCACCCATGTTCTTTCAAACAATGACCACTTCACTTTTAGTCCATGCTTCTGCTAATTAGGGAACACAGGCTCTTCCCACAATCCCAATTTAACCCCACAATGACCCTGTGAGTTAGGTTAGTTTGTAGGTCAAGTTATACATTATATTATTCACATGGTTAATTCTAATTATAAGGCTTTTCTTAATAAATGACCCGTGCTAGTCATGCTCCCAGGTCCAAACCAGATGTGACATTCACATCTTCAGCCCTGATGCACAATATTAAATAATAATAATAGCTGACATGACAGGGGTGAATAGGATTGGTAGGAGAGCAAGTTTTAACCTTTTGCTTCTGCTGCACTTGCTATTTGTAAAGTTTACCCAGTTCAGCAAAAAACTGAGTTTGGGTATCTATAGTCGAACTCTGTTCATTACACTGCACAGAATCTCTGAAAGGGTTGTTGTTGTTGTTGTTGTTGTTGTTATTATAACATTTCTATGCAGCTCTTTGTAGCATATGGCAGGGAAGGCTCAGGTCATTCCGGAGAAGGCAACTTGCCCAACCTGGTGCCATGCAGAACTTTTGGATAACAACTTTCAGGGGTCCAGACAATTAGCCTATGGGAGCTGAAATTCAAAGCATTTGTGATAAGGCTGCTCCAAATCACATGAGGAGGACTTGGATGCCAAATCTGGTCTGAGGACCAGAGGTTCCTCACCATTGTTTTAGGATCTCCCAAACAACATATAATTTGAAAGTGCTACTCTTCTATCACTGCAATGTTTTAAATCCTGTTTTAAGATGGTTATTATTTCTGAAAGGGGCTCGCAGTGATAAAAAAAGAACCAGGCCGTACTATCAGACTTAAAGTAAACACACACACATACATGGAAAGGGGAGCAGAGGATGAGGAGGGTGATCAATTTTCAAGGCAGAACAAGATTCAAATGCTCAGTGCTCAGGCTACTTTTCCTTTGCTGGTGTTCCTGCCTGAATAGCAGTCAGTGCAACGGCCAAAGCATTCTTTTCCCTTATTTCTTCAGTGCCAAAGCATTCTTTTCCCTTATTTCTTCAGTGCCAAAGCAACTGACAGTTGGAACTGCGTGGTGTTTCTTTCTGGGAGAGGAAAGCAAGGTCCTACACCTGCACTTTCTCAGGTATTACAAGCCATTGCTCTGTGGGCACTGCTAGAGTGGGCACTGCTATATAGGACTACTGTCAGATTAATGCAATGTAATTAGGCAAGTCTTGTGTGTCAAATTATTTTCTCACCAACAAAAACCCCTGTTTTGGTGCCACTGATATTTTCAGTGGTGATTCCTGCATCTTCCAGTGCTCTGTAAGTACATTCTAGGAGCAGCTTTTGTTGAGGATCCATTTGCTTCGTTTCTTCATCGTTAATGCCAAACAGCTTATTGTCAAATGCAGTACATCTAACAAATAAAAATGGACACATGATGCACTTTGCCAGATACACTCTAATTCCCATGCAGCTTAATCCAATATGCTTCCACTTAAATCAATGGACACTATGTGCTTTTGGATTAGCAAAGAGGTGGTCAAGGATCAGCACGGCAGACACGGTGCCAGCACTATGTCATGGCATGCAACTAATGCTCATACCTGTGCTGCAGTATGGCTCGAAACTTTTCCACCAGGAAACCAAACTGTCATATGGGAGACAGCAGTGCTGAAATGGAGTGTAGAAGCTTTGGCAATGACTGATATTTTGTGATTGTGGTTGGTTGGGGTGCTGAAAAAGCCACCCTTCAAACTGACAAGACACCATGGGTTTCTGGGAGATATGTTAACTAGTATGGCATATAGGCAGAATGCAAATGCAGTGCAATATTAACAACTACAACAACTACTACTTTTTGTTGTACAAACCTGGTCAATGAGTGAGAAATAGAAAAAACTAACATTATGATGCTTTCCTTTCCAAAAAGTGCAAAAATATCTCATGTGTGGATATCGAGCTACCTGTTAATTATACTTTGTTCCTAAAATTCAATTGCTTATACATTCTAAAAGATATATTTATAAGTAGTACAACATAATAGCCAGGGCAATTAAGGAAATGATGCCTTAATTCAAAGTGGCAGGTTTCGAAAGACTGAATGACTAATTAACAAATCACAAGACTTACTCATCAAGAAGAGCAGCATATCTTGCACCCATTTTGCCTGGATTGTTATCATCTGGATCAGACCACGCTCTAATGTTAAATCTTTCTGGAGATATTTCTGTAGTACAGTTTCTGCCATTCTCCAGCACCTTCCAGAAACAGTCAATTCCTTCACCTGATGCACAGACAAACAGGCACAGGCACATGGTCACTGTGTTTATAAAATGTCACACTGGCCTTACATCCATTTTGCATTTCAAAATAATTTCAACTTTCTAAGTCTAATACACATTGAATTTGTACTATTCAAACTATTTCAGAATAGAACTGGGTCTAGGGAGATCAGGGGGAGTGGTAGGGTGTGTGGTGGTTTTGGGGGATTATTGTTTGTTTGGCCAAACAGCTGTTTTCATTGCTAGTTGAATGTTCATGAATGTGGTGAGCAAGAATAAAAATTAAAAAATAAAAAAGCAAATTTGTAAAACGGCAGTTGCAAAGCTGGGCAATTTGTGCAAATTTCATGGCCGATAAAAAAGTTTGTGAATGCCTTTACTGATGCAAAAGGGTTTGGAAAATTACTTTCTTTTCTCATTTTGATGCAAGAGGTGAGATGAGTTTCCTTTGTTAGTCAGCAACTGCAGTGGAATGCATGCCAAAATAGGGAATGTGGATTTCTGCCACATAGCCCCTTCCTTACATGCTGGCTGCAGAGGAGAGACTGAGAGCAACTCAGGGAGAAAGAAGCCAGGACAGGCCACCAAGAAGTGATCATCTCTTGGGAATAATCCACAAACCTCCCATTCACTGAGGGTTCTTCTTGGGGATGTTTAGCATGATGTGTGAATCTGCTGACTTGTTTTCTTCCAGATGCAGTTTGCATAGCAAACCTCTCAACCTCTCAACCAAATAGTCATATCTATTGCATTCACTGCATTTATATGTAGATTAACTCACAGATTACAGTCTTCCATTGGTGAATGTGTATAATTTGGTGCAGCTTAAGTTTACTTCAGGGAACAAATTTCTCAGTTCATTATTCATAGGTGTGTAAGAAAATATAATGATATAAATGGCTTGGGGGCATCACGTTTGAGAAAGAAAAAAGAAACTGCACAAGTGTGTTTCTAGACAGATAGTTTCTGGAACTACAAATCAAAAGTCATTATACAGTTATTCTGTCTTTTGCTTATCTATTTATTTATTTACTTAATTAATTTTTATACAATTCATCAGCCAAATGGATCTCTGAAGCAGCTTACAATACGTTAAAATTACAAAAAAAACCATAATCCCAAACAAAGAAAATGTACATATAAATCACACTTAAAATATGATCTCAACAAAAAATCCAGCAAACCTCATCCATAATCCATAATGGAGCATGCCCAGTGAATCAAACCCAGAAGTAACAGCAATCCAAGATAAAATACCTTACAAAACATAATACACAATATAAAACTTAGCTATTAAAGTATTGGCAAAATAGAAAGGGTTTTGCCTGGCACTAAAAAGAATGAAGAGTTGGTGCCAGGCACACCTGTTTAAAGAACTAGCGCTCTCTCTCTCTCTCTCTCTCTCTCTCTCTCTCTCTCTACTCAGCGCGACCATTGTGTAAAAGTGTGACCCCAAGATGTGAGTTCCGGCACCTTTTTTTTTTTTTTTTTTACAAAAAAAGCACTGGGAACAAGGCAATTGCACCCTAAAAACTACAACTGGAGGACTCTGGATGACAGCACAGCTCAAAGGGGCCACAGCCTCCTCCAGGCAGGTGTATGAAATCTCAGGTAGTCCATGGTTGCTTTTCTTTTTTCACATTCATAGTATGTTGGAGTGAGGGTATGACTTGTGTTGTGCTAAAACAAAGACTGGCCTAGATAGGCTACTGGAGCATCTCACTATGGTTTGCTAGTGACAGAAAATTATTATTTGAAAAGGTCAACTTATTTGGAGCATCAGAAGTGAGCGATGTAAGTTTGTTATCCAGGTTATTTATGAATCTTTGGACTGAATAAACAACTGGGGACCCAAAACCAACTTGCAACAGTGCTTGAAGCTTCCCTAATCCTATAGGCATTCCTAATTTTCCAAAACAGAAAGAAGAAAAGCAAATAGCCTGTTTTCTTAGACTTTTGGGTGGGGGTCTATTCCAAATATGAACAGGCCTAAGTTGAGAGAGGGAAGAAAAATAAATGTAATGTCCACCATTCCTCTTGTTTTGGAAAGAGATCATGATTTTTTAAAAAGCAAAGTTTTAAAAAATTCCAAGATTCATTGCAAAAACAAATCTTGGAAAGGGAGAAATGGAATTTCCAGCAGCTGCTGTAAGCATATGAAAATGCCACAGATAATCACTTCTCCAGGCACATGGCAGAGACTCACAAAAGAAAAAGCTTCCTAGCAAGAATTTGCATGCTAGCATCTCCAGAAAAAACATGTGGGGAATTTTTGTTTCTTTTTTACTTCAGATCATTAGTGAAGGGTTTGAATTTTGTAAGCATCTCAGATGACAATTATCACATAATGTAAAACAGGGCAGAGCAACTTGTGGCTCACCAGATATTTTGGCTTAAGGTTCCATCAGCCCTAGCCAGCATCACAAATAGTGATGAATGATGGGGTGTGTAGTCTGGAACATCTGGAGGACTGCAGGGCCGTCTTAACAGCATTATGAGCCCCGGGCAAAGCAGTGTATTGAGGCCCCTATGACAACTACAATTACTGTTAATTTTGGAAGTTTTCCAATTTTCCAAGGGTTAACATACACAGATTAGTATGGGGCCCACAGGCAAGTGCCCATCAGACCCATGCGTTAAGACGGCCCTGGAGGACTGGAAATTGTCCATCCATACCACAGAATAATATTGCAAGAAAGCATGAGATATAATCTTGATACAGTGCTTCTTACTTCGGCCAGACTTACCTCCTGGAAAGTTGCAGCCTATGCCCACAATAGCGATTTCATTCTCACATGCCATCTTTATTTTACGTTTCTATTTATGCCAGCCTTTGAATAAGACAATCATCCTACAGAAAACAAAATAATCTATATTTACTTTTAATTTAAAATGTAAGTAACTCTTTCTAAAAGCAAATAATTGTCAATATATGCTAAATTATATGCTCTTCTAAATACAATTTCTGATTTAAAATACAGCTGCATAGATCATAAATAATATTGCACATATTAAGGACCCCTCTAGCATATGATTTTTAAAATGTTAAGTGAAAACAGCTTCAATTATTTTAGTGGAAGTATGCAAGAATCACTAAATAATCTGAAATTAGTATTATTGAAACATAATGTTATTAATAAATCACTGGACAATATTATTCTCTGAGCTATATCCCAAGGTCCAGAAATAAGACAAGAGGGCAGTTGGTGGCAACCCACAGTTTACACTGCAACCAAACACCGTATGTTGATTAAAAATGGAGGAAAAGTTCTAGGCATGTGCTTGCTGGGTGAAGTAAAATATGTGTCCAATTGAAAGCAGCTTATGAAAATGTGCAGTCTCAGAACTATGACCGTTGAGGAGAAGAGTAACCGAATGTAAAAAGACTGGAGTGGGAGGCCCTGCATTTGAAGAACCTTAAATTCTGAGGCAAATTCTGGCTTGGTAACAGTACTGTACCAAGTCACTCAAGAGTCCTGAGGAAAGAATACCTGAGTTAATCCGTATGTATAAAGAATAATTTGAGTATTGCAGAAGAGTGGGAAAACGCCTCCAAAAATGTGAGCATGTGTAAGGGGCATGGGAGGATATACATTTTGTTTATTCATTTTCTACCTCCAGCTTTCAATGTAAAATACCCGAGGGGGTGTTTACATAATAGTAAATGCATACAAATACATTTAGCTCATTCTGCTGTATTTTTCTCCATTCTTCTTAATTTGACCAGCTGTCTTTTGACTATCGTGTGACCTCCCTGTTACTTTAAATATCTTTGCACATGAATATTTGGGCTGTTTGGCCCACTTCTTTAGGCTCTGCTGGAACACTGTAGATTTGCCCAGCACAAGGCAGGAAGGGAGAGGCCCTGTTTCAATCCCAAGTTTTTGTCTAGCTTGCAAATCAAAGTACTTATATAAGATGTTCCTGTGCAAAAGAAACTGTTCTACTTGAGCAGGAGACCAAAAATTCAATAACAATAATATCCTACATTACACATTCGTGGGCAATGAAAACGGAATCCTTTTCTTTTGGAAAACCCCTTTCTGAGACTGAGTCATTAAGCTCTAACAAGTGTTACCTGGTTTGTATCACATTCCTCTCCATTTGCTCATCAACCTCCTTGATGCCTTCCACAATTCCTTTGTCTGAAGCAGTCTGATTACGTTAAGCATTTGCCTATAGCTATACAAGTATAAAAGTGCCTGTTCTGTGTTCTATGATGTTTCAACCTGATTTATTATAATCTTCACTCTAAAATCACAATCTTCCTTGAGACAATGTTGCTATAATGATAATTTGTAGTTTAATGGTTGTATGCTATGCAGATAGAACCAAGGTAACACTGACAACTACTTAGGAATGCAGTAGAACAGATAGGACAACCTTTCTGAGGTAATGCATTGGCCTCCTCCTATACTAATGATCAACTGTGTATTTATAGGAGAATGAATATTGGAATCCTTCCAACTCCCACACAGGAAAGGTATTCTTATAAAACTGTAGGAGCCTGGCTCGGTAAGACCAAAGATCCATCTACATGAGCATTTCAGTTTCAGTGGTGGACAGTCAGATGCTTCTGGGAAGTTTAGAATCAGTGGTGTAGTGGTCAAGTTTGAAATACTCATCATGACAGTCCCCACAGAAACACCCTCAGGGAGGTCCAAAAATGTAAGCAATATGATCCATATCAACAAACGAATATATTCTAGAGGTTTTCCTTTCCCCCAGGAACAGGTCTTTTGTAAAGCTATTGGGTCATTCCAGACCAACCCACTACAAAACACTTTGCATTAAAACAAGAATAGATCACAATATATAGCTGCTGAGAAAATCATCCTGTCTGGACAGCTATTGTGAGGATTGCTCAAAGGGCCCTGGGAAGTCTAAGGAGGAGTGGCTGAAGACATCATACCTGCTCATTGAAAAGGGCCAGCACTTTGACCCTTGAGCCTTTGCTCCACTATAGTAGCTCTTTTAATGAGGACATGATGGCAAACACCTTCCTCCAGTATTTCTTTACCTTGCCTTTGTGGCTACTCCTTTTGTTTGCCATTGCCAATACCTGTTGATAGATATATCTTTCATGATTTCATCTAATCATGATTTAAGATGCTATTCATTACCATATTTTGTGGCTGTAAATTCTGTAAGTCATTTTTCAAGTAATATGTGTCCTAAGTTCCACCTGCATCATTCTGGATCAAAGAGCCTATAATCAACACTTTGCATTTCCGTAAACTGACGATGACCTAAGTATATCTTTCTTTCACAAACCAAACCAATGTTATGTTCTATGTCCTCAGAGGAAGGTAATCCGAACTAATGTGCTTCAGATAATAAGTAATATCCCCCACTCTATTTATTTTGATAAGGGCAAATAGTGTTCCTGAATGCTTAGAATGCTACAGAACACGTGCATATTGCCCCTACATAATTCATATATATTAAGGTTGTAATTCTCTGTATACCTACTTGGGAGTGGGGCATTTAAGTAAACATACATAGGATTGTGCTTCTTTCAAATTAAAACAATTTATTTTAACATAACAAAGCTTAACATTGCAATTGATACTCTATGGCAGGCACATTTCATTCAGAGTGAAGTCCTGTTCCATGGGAAAAATGAGCAAATGCTCAAATTTTTACTGAACGCAACAGGACCTAGCAATGGTGATATCTGGTTGACTTCTATTGAATCAATAGAACTCCAGTTGAATTCTGTTGGTTTCAGTAGGAAAACTGAATAAACTCAAATTTCTGTTGAAACCAGCTGTTCTCCAAGTGGCTGGATCATGCCCATAATACTGATGGAAAAGTCTGTAATACTTTAAAAACGGTTATGAAATAATTGTTACACCCAGTTATAAAATGCAATGAAGATCTTATCACAGAAAGATTGATACTGAATCACCTTCAACAACAACAACCTGGGCATATTGCAAAAAGCAGTTTAATGTTGTCTCACAAACATGAACAAGAAACAAATAAAATGCAGTCTGTCAATTTTAAAAGGTTAAAGACATCCAAATATATACAATGTTTATTGACTATGTCTGATAGAGGCAAGCTGGTCCTGGATGCCTAGTTCTACAACATACACATAGCACAGCTAAAGCAAGTTCTGTTTATGTGAATGAGAATTATAGTGCTCAAACACAGCTACAAACTAAACCCTAGCAATCACAAGGGCGAAAAGAAGACCTCAGTTATTCAGTTTCATATGACATGAAATACTGTATTCACCTGACCCTTACACATAAGAAACACTGAATGACATGCATATAACATTGATTATTAATACTTGTTATCTTGATATAAGCATTGATATTAATACTTATTTACTGATAAGCATTTATATAGAAAACTACTTGTAGCATTCTACTACATTCTTAATTAAGATATACTGTACACATGCACATCCACATGTATAAGCCCATTGTTGCTTTTGGATAGATACTGGTGTCTGTAGCAAACATGGTTTCTGTTTCATTAAGACTTACCTGCAGCACAAATTTCACAAGTCCCATGTACTCTTTATAAGGATCAGTAATAACCAAAAGACAACTAATTCCACTACTGAAGAATCACCATGGCTAACGCTGTACAACTATCTTTACTTATGGGCTCCTCAACTGTCATTCAGATTTTCTAAACAAAAGCAGGCTAGGTTGTCTGGTTATACCAGTTATAGTTAATTAGCAGTTATGGTAAACAACATGTGATTTTGAAGACTGGTTTTCTACAGTGACAGATCAAAAGATCCTGATTAAGCATGAGTAAGATTTGCATTATCATGGGGAAGCGGGGAACTCAAACTGGAGAAAGAACCCATCTGGAAGAGAAATGGATCTTAGCATTGGAAGTGCCTTGTTTTGCAAGTTCCAGTGACCAATAGGTTGGTTTAGTTGCTAGAGTTCAGAGATTTGAAGGGGCTCACAGAGAGAAAGTGAGAACAGTTGAGAGCTAGCTGTCTGTACATTACACCTCCAACCTGTCTAGTCAACTTGCCAAATGAAAGCCTTCCTCCAGGCTTGTGGAGTTATCTGGAGTTGGGGTGCATTGCCAACATTATGAATAGGAATTTTTTTGTGCATTGTGGATTCACATTTTTGCACTGCATTATTTCTAGATTATGGGGGGTTGGTGTTGCTTTATGCTGATTTTTTGCTTTATGCTGATTGTGGTTTATATTGAATTGGGTTTTTTATTTGAGTTATGGATTTCTTGTGTGTCAGAGTAGCTTCAAAGATTGGCTTTTGCTGTGTGAAATGGTGGATATTAATAGGAACTGTAAATGTAAAAACGCAAAACCATGGTGAAGGCTTCCTTACATTTTAAAATACCTGGGTAAATAGGGATGTCTTAACTTGATATCTAAGTGCATTAAACTGGAGAATACTTTTAGCATTTTATTTGTACCTAGCACAATGGTTTCTAGATTTGTTTGGACATTGCAAGAGCTCTTGAATTTCAATCTGGTAAAGAAAATAATGTTTTCAATCATTCAGGCTATTATTTTACCTTGAAGAGTCTGCCTCATTAGATTTGCATTCTGATGTATCTTCAGGTGCAGTCTGACACCAAATCTACAGACAAATATTGTCACCACAACAATTTCTCAACTGAGTCTGTAAGTTTGTCACAAACAAAAATGAAGACATGACTTGGTTTCCACGATGAGCTGCAGCATGTGGCAGATGGACTTGCATATTCAGTGCCCAACCACAGATTCTCATGTCATGCAAAGCCAGGGACCATGGGTTATGTAAGGTTTTTGCAAGTGGTTTTTTAACTTTTGCATGGTTATGGTCTTCAGGTACACATGACATGTCAAGCAAAGTCAGATGATCACTGAATATTTGAAATGGGCTGTTGACTTATCTGTTGATTTTCAAGTATCACAGGACCCTATTCCTTATTTCCATTCTGCATTCCATTAGCCAACACCTGCACTTTATTTACCCTCTTCAGTAGGCAAGGCCACATACCAGTGGTAGACAGAGTTAAAGAAAAATGGTGTAAGATCACAAAAATGAAACAAGGTCTACATACTGCAGCCTGATTGCAGTAACTAAGCCTTAGGAGAGACGTTCTGATCTTTTAAAATTGGGCAGGGGTGCACAAAAGCCAAGAGACTGCCCAACAATTAGTAGTTAGGGGAAAGGAGTGGATCCAGGTGTAGGGCACAGCCTTCTGGGAAATCCCAGAGATCCAGAAAGGCACAGAAGGCCAGATTTGGCTTCCTGGCCTGAAATTCCCCACCTCTAATCAGGTCTGTGTGGATCTCAGTGGTAAACAAAGCAAGAGGAAGAAAGGAAAAAGTTGTCTTGTGTTGAAGCTATGGAGTCAATGACTGGGTTCGCATAGCATAAGCCAGGATGACTTTTAAGTCAAGGGTAGCTTGCCATGTTGTCTGAATCCAGCCAGAGTAGTTACCAAATCATGTTCCTGTGTTTAGAAAACAAGAGACTCAAGCATATCATGTTGTTGAATCTAGTCCATATACATGGTCAGGTTTTGTACTTTTAACCCAAAGTGCACAATTTCAGTCTTCACCAGATTGCTGTTATTTGTCTGTCCTTGACAAAAGGTGGAAATGCATTTCATTTGGAGAACCTCACTCTAGAGCAAACAATGGAAAACTGAAATCTACAGCATTTGTTTTCCTGTGATAGTGTAATATAAACACGTAAGTTTCCTTTTTAGAATTAGAACTCTTAATTCCAGTCCTTTGCAGTGCACACATGTGAGTGTACATGCATCATTTTGCAATGATAGGTGTGGGCAGAGCACAGTAGTGACCTCCATGGGAGGGACTGAACCAGGTCTATTACTTTTAGCCCAGAGATATTCGAAATGTTCTGTGTCACTTTTGCAGACGTGATCATGAACTGTGAAAATAGCCAAATACTGTATATCTTATAGTCCTCACTAATTTAATTTTGAGTATACCTACAGAGGGTCTTTAAATGTTGCTGAGAGATCTTGTCCGCCTGCCATAAAATCTGAAAATATCCATTGGCTGAAGCTTTGAATTCAATGTAAACACACAGAAGTACCACTTAAAATTTTATTGATTAAAAGAAATATACATGTCTTCATTATACAGAATGTAATAACATGTGCCCTCAATACAAAACAATAACAGTTGAATAAAATCATAGAGTAATATAATAGAAATAACATGTGAAAATACATTAATAGATCATACAAAAAGAACTGAACAAAATGACATTTAGAAAAACCTTATATGTACTTGTGAGATTTAAAACTCTTTGAGACAGGATTCGAGTAGGTACAAGCAGTTTATTCCATACAAAAAGCGTTTGCAAAGGCTAGCTCAATGCCTCAGTAGTCTGAGAAACAAAGAGCAATCTTTTACTGTTTACAAGAGATTTTATACATTCCTTTCCCTGATGCTCAACACTATCCCCGCTTTGCCATTGGCTGGTTACTAAGAAGTCACAATCTTCCCCATCCGCCTATATCATACTACTCCTTAATATGTTCCCCCTTCCCGCTTATACATCCCATGTTCATGCTAATGAGCCAATTACCTATTTGAGGTGTGTCATTTACTATTTATGAGCCTATTAAGCATGTTCAGTACCTTCTAAGAGGCCAACAGGCCGAAGTGGCCTTGAAAATTCTTACTTGAAAATGTTTCTTAAATCTTGTGAGGAGGATGAGATAATGAGAACAGGCCTTTCTCCAGGCTCGTTATCGCCAGTTGTAAAGTAATCCATTATCTGTTCTCCTCCACTGAAGGTGACAGTTTTACCACTGTCCCCCAATTTTACCCCTTCTGGTATTTTTCGGAATTTTTTATATAAGAAACATTATTAGAACAACCATTTACATGTTTTGATTCTCAGGCTTTTTTTTTTGCCTTAAGAGACTTCAATGATCCTGTCCTATTCCTGTTTTTTACGCTTAACACTTAGTAACAGTAACATTTCATTTCTCACATACTTAAATGAAAATATTTTACACATATGAAAAGTTAGCATACTGGCACCTTGATCAGCCTCCAAAGTTTGCAGAAGTTGTAAGATCTAAATCTCTTGTGACATGTAGTAAGTCTGTTGACTGTTCACATTCAAAAACACCCCATGGTATCCTTCCTTTACATTTCAGTAGAAAAACAGGCCTTTTGAGAATAGAGCTATGGATTCCTTCTTGTTTGATAGAAACAAATTCTAATTTTACAGTTCAGCCTCTTAAAGAATGTTACATCCAAAGGGCTAGGGACATTGTATTATGCTTCTTTAGACAGAAAAAAATCCATAATTCCGAGCATGCTGGCTGAAAAATGCTAGAAGATATAGATCTTTTTTCTTACTTCTTTTTTCTTACTCTTACTGCTGATGGATTGCATCTTAACCAGCCAGCCAGACTATCCTACATAATCAAGAAAATGAGTAAACTTGAAATATAAAAATAAGGGAAATATAAAGCCCTTAAGTTTCTGAAAGTTATTTTGGAATTGCTGAATAACAAAAGCATAAAAGATAAAATCATGCCTAAACATTTACAGTGCATTTCTGTGCTTATTCAGGAATAATCACACTGGAAGAAGGGATCCCTCTTTAGTAAATATGCATAGGATTACAGCCTTATCCAAGTAGTAATGTCCTGAGCCCACAGAAACTAGGTTAATCCAGTCTGTGTGGATCTCAAAGAGTGCAGTGTTTATTGTGCTTGTGTTACTCCTAGAATAACTGAGGTAGTAGTCTCAGAGAAAACAAATTGCTCTTTTGGCCACCAGGGAGCCAAAAACTCAGTGCCCACGACTCTCTAATGCTGTTTCTAAGGTATTCTTATAATGGAGGCTCTATCACTGATAAAACAGGAGATAAGGCAACATTTGTGAAAGAAGTGCCAATGAGAGAGAATAAAAAAGGGAGCTTCAAGTACTGAAAGAAAAGCTTTTATTATTGCCCATAGCATCTTAGAAAATGTTAGGGGCAGCCAATCTTCTGTTAGGGTCTGCTACTTAACTGCACAACAGATCATATCTAAACAACGGTAAGCACAGATTTCTTGAATATATATCTGAAGATTGTACATTTATGCCCATATGTTTACTGTGCTAAGTAGAGATGTATGTTGATTATGATCGTTAAAGGTTGCATGTTAAATAGAAAGCTTCAACTAGAAAGTATATTTGGCTCAACAGTCAGGCCTTTTATCTTTCTGCAATATATCTGTTGAACACTGAGCAATTGTAATGCAATTTGATACACATATTGAGGGTACAAGTCCAAACATCATCTCGCACACACAATCATGCATTGAATGTGCAAACATGAGCACAACACTTAAGAATATCATATCCTAAGGAGGCTTCTCACATATTGTTTGGATAATTGAAAATAAATACTCCAGATATGAAAAACATTGCAAATGAAAGCAGGGTGAGTAGCTTCAAGACCCTGTAATGAAAGGATGAATTGTCAGCAAATGCAAAACGCTGTTGCTGCCAATGGTGAAACTAAAATGCTCCAACTTAGTCAAAGTGTGACTGCTGTTGAGATTAGTATTGAGAAATCCTATTACAATTAGCATTGAGAAATCATACAGCTATCATCAGTATTGCAGCTACAGAGAGATATTGCAGTGTCCTCCTTCACAGCTCTGTGGCTTTCAGTACTCTTCATTGCGTTCTGTTAGAAGCTTCTTCTAAAAATGATGCTAGATTCAGCACTGTAGTCTCCGGATCAAGTAATTTTACAAGTGGTACATCAGTCTTTTTATCCTGAAAAATTCGATTCTGTATAGTCATAGCTAACATAGAATCGATGCCAAGAGATAAAAGGCGTGTGTTCATTGCAATATCACTTAAGTCTGCACCACTGAGTTCACTCACCAATGACATGACATAGTCTTCTGCTTTTATTGGAGCCAAATCATTGATTACAGTTTTTTCTGATGGTTCAACATTACTTCCTGTGAATTCTGCAAGGACTGTGCGCATGCGACTCCTCATTGCTGAACTTCGAGAAAAGTAATGAGTGATCAAAGATTTAATGTTGAGCTTGACCACAACTTGCTGTGGATTATTCAGAGTCAGGCTTGTTTTAAGATACTCATGAATTTCATCCACCTGCAGAATTGCTATGCCCTTTGATTCCAAAAGATTTTGAATGCCGCTTTGATTTTGCAGTACTCCAAGATTCAAGGCACCCCAACTGATGGATTGTCCTGGCAGTCCACAGTTTCTCCTGTAATGGCAGAAATGTTCCAGGAAGGAATTGGCAGCAGCATAGTTTGCTTGCATTGCATTTCCAAGAAAGGAAGAAACTGATGAATAGCATACAAAATAGTCAAGATTCAGCCCTTGAGTAGCATGGTGAAGATTGAGGGCTCCAGCAACCTTTGCGCTTAAGACTTCCTCAAATGTAGCACGACTCAAGGCTTCAATGCTTGCATCATGGAAAACCACAGCACTGTGGAATATACCTTTGATTGGGCACTTTGGAAAGGTTTTGCTGATTGACTTGATAGCACTCTCAACATCAGACTTAAAGATTATGTTGCACTGCACACTGACTATTCTGCTCTGTTTATTCTGATTCTGCACATTACAAATCTCTTTTTGCATTTCAGCATTAGGCTTTCTCCGGGAAAGAATGACAATGCAGCCCCCTCCATTTTGAGCAATAAATTTCACAGTTTCAAAGCCAAGCCCTGTTAGCCCCCCAGTGACGATGTAAACAGCATTTTGCTTAAACAGTTTCCTCTTTGTGTCACACAATGGAATATCAGAAATGCAGCTGTCATGCTTATTTTTCAGTGCAATTAATGGGATAGATTTGCAAGTGAAGGTGGATGATACTGCATTGTCTGAGCTCTCACTGTTCTCTAGCTGTTGAAAGATGGAAGAAGGTAAGTCCTTAAACTGCTTTTGCTGCATTGATTTCATCCACTTAGAGAAAGGTTTCTGGGATATTTTCAGAGATGCTTTCTGGAAAATTGAGGAAAGACTAAGAGCATGAATTTGAAAGTTTTCATGACTGTTTCGAAGGAGAGATGTCATATATTCAGGATGGTGGTTGCCGCATAAAACCGCTACATCATGGAGATATGGAAGGTGAGCTAAAACATCTCTGGGTAACTTTTCCAGGGGATTCAGAAAAACAAGGGCATTGCAATGAGACACACACTGCTCCAGGTTGCTGTCAAGTATTGTACATACAGTTTTCCAGCCTGCTTCTTGAGCTGACAGGGAAAGAATTTTGCACAAAACTGACTTTGGTTCAGTAGAAATAATGCCTAAAGATCCATTCCGTTTGATTTTTGACAGGATCTCATGCAAAATTTCCCATGCTATCCTAAATAAAGACACACAGGGTACAGTTTCAAAGCATGGAAATTTCTGGGTATTAAAACATACTGTTTCTGGAATCCTGATTCTTGAAGATGCAGCAACTGGATAGCATGAAGCAATGTGATCTCCCACTCGGAGCTGTTTTACTTTGCTGCCTGCTGCAACTACTGTTCCACTGCAGTCCAGTGCTAAGAGCTTGTATTTATGGATTGTCTGTGAATTCCAATATAATGTGTTTCCAAAGTTCCAGCTGGAAACACTAACAGGAAAATAGTCCTCAGAATGGATACTTATTTTTTCAATTTGCACTTCAACATGGTGAGCATCAAGAGGAAAATCAATGCTGTCAGCCAACTCAGCCGATATCTCTCTTGCTTCATTAGGCTCAGAGGTATAAAGGCCAAACAAGTCACAATTTGACAAAGACTGGGACTTATGATTGTGCAATATATTGTTGGTTTGTGTGCTGCTGATTTCGGAAGTGTAAATTCTTCCTTGATTAATCCAGACTTCAGGATAAATTTCAGCGTCATACCCAACTAAAACGTTTGCTAAGGCCAGGATGTCCATGGCACTTGTTGAGCTGATATCAATCATCTGAAAAGTGATGTTAGTAGCTTCAAGCATGCAGGCCCGGGCCATGCCATACAAGGCAAAGCCAGGGTTGATGTGGTCCACGATCCTGTCTGTTGTCCTGTACGTGATTATTGTGATGGAGCAACGACTG